CCTCAGAGGATACATGTGGGAAATTTGCATACGAATGACCTAATGTTATTATAGACAACCTTATGATAGAGGAAATCTAAATTGTGCAGCCCTCGTCTGGGAATCTACTCAATTTTCTTCAGTATTGGGGATTGAACCTGGGCCTCCACATTGAGCTATGTCACTGGCATTTTTTTTTCCCCTTTATAGAGACAGGGTCATCCTAAGTGACAAATTACTCAGGCTTTGCTAAAACGTGCAGCCCTCCTGTCTCAACCTCCCAGAGTGCTGGGATTACAGGCACAGATCATTGTCTACCTCATACAAAATTTTATAGTAGGTTAAATAATGTTGTAATAACTAAGATACATGACAGTGAAGGAAATGACTAGTTAACCATTTATATCCTTTTGATGGGATATTGTACAACCTTTTTTTTTTTTTTTTTTTTTTTTTCAGGATAAGGGTGTATAGGGCATACAGGATTTCACTGTATAGATCAGACCCATAATGATCCTTCTGTTTACAGCCTCCCAAGTGCTGGGATTACAGGCATGCGCCATCATGCCCAGTATCAATCACCTTCTCAATGTGCCCTGGGGGCGGAGCTGGCCCTGCAGGCTGGGGAATCAAACTCCCAGCCCCTGCATCTGCCTAAGCAGACGCTTTAATCTGCTGAGCTATTTGGCCGGCCTTATATATATATTTTTTTTTTCTATGAATAACTAGTTTTTAAAGAAAAAAAAATTGGTAAATGACATCCACTTCAGCAAGGACTAACGTAGATCCAGCTAAGCGTATTAGGAAGTAGGATCTCATTGTCCTCCCCAGCAACTATCAGCCCCCTCTATAAATGGTAACATCCCCATGCCCACCTTACCCCCAGGAAAAAAATAAACTACAATCACAAGCAGTGGTGGAGCTAAAGTTCATGCAGTATGATTATAGTCAAGATAGATTGGGCCATGTTCAAGTGATGTGTGGTTCAGTCTGCTAGATTATGGAATCTTCCCTTAAATAAATAAGAAAAGACATTTAAAAACTGTTAATATGAGAAAAATTTGATTAACTATTAATTGGTTAGACCAAATTTAGGTACATATAGTTATGACTAGATAAAAATAATATAAGTGGGAAAAATTATTGGAGTTTTTCAAATGCCAACACTGAGGTTGGGGAGGATGACTAGCTGTGGATAAGCTTTCTTAAACCAAATTTTCTTTACTATTATTTTTTTTCTCTGTTGCTCTAAAACCTACATACAGGGGCCGCGGAGATGGCTCAGTGGAATAAGTGCTTCCTTGGCAAGTGCAAGGGTCTGAGTTCAATTCCTGGTTCTGCCAAAAAATAAAATAAAACCTACATACATATTTTAGGAGTGTGTACTCCATTTGGTACATATCTTTATAAGCAGGCCTTTTGTGCATTTACTTACCCATTCTTTTCTCCCTTCCCACACCTCTAAATAGACATGTTATTTTATTTTTTAAAAAATAAAATGAAGGGGCTGGAGAGATGGCTCAGTGGTCTAAAGCACCTACTTAGAACAAGCTTAGCAAAAGCATCAGGGACCACGGTTCAATCCCCCAGC